GATATGTACATTACTCTACTATTTAATAAATGACCGAAATATTCGACATAACGACGTTGACTAGGTATGGTAACGCCCTTGAATAAAATATTTCAAAGCTTTTATCGACGCAAATGTAAATAAAAGAAAATTTTTACTTTTTCATTCGACGTTCGTTGTTGAGCATAAAATTTTAATGTTTCTATTGGATCATTATGTTCTTGACGATAATAATACAATAGAAAACAACAAGACATGACACCTGTACGACCCTAAATAGAGTAAAAAAACATTCAAAGTACTCACGTCAGAGGAAATGTGATTTTTCTTAGAACTAATCTCTTTTCAGAGTCGATATAAAATTTCAAATGTTTTACTTGCTTATTAAAGATATATAAAAAAAAAAGCAAACCTACAGTTAGATTCTGATTATTATCTCTTGTACAGTTATATGCTCTTTAAAATTATATGACAGATATATCTTATCGGTAGTAGTAAAAAATCATAAAATGAAAATTCACGCAAATGATAGGAACAATCTTTCTAAGAAAAAAACTCTCAATAGAAAAGTTTTTAATTTATTTTTATCTCTTTAACAAAAATAATTATACTTTTACATAATATTAGTTTTTTTTAATATTTCGGTCTAATTTAATGATCTATATATTCTCTCATTGGCATTTATTAATCTTAGTCATATCTTATATAACTTACTTTTCCTGCTTTGCAATGTATAACAAGTGTTCTATCAGCCATTTCTTTTAATTGTGTTTCAGCATGTTGACAAAAACCCAATATCATTTTAATGGTTGGTGGATTATGATCTTCAAAACTGAAGTCTGAGCAAACATGATTATTAAAACGTGAACCATCATATTGTCTTTCACTTTCTACACATCTAAAAAAAGGGCTTATAAGAAAATAATTTCTTAATTAAAAACTTATTTTTACTTACAAATTATATATATAAAATTTATCTCCATGTTTGGATGATAAAAACCTTTAAATAAAAAAAAAACCAAAATTTTTTAATATGATTTTTTAAAAAATTAAGTATCAAAAATTCTTACCGACTAACATCACCAATATTATTTCTATAGACACCTTCATAACTATCAGCTGGATAACCCATGGCAATAACATTCGGACGAATATCTAATTGAAAGAAATTTTTTTTTTTTAATTTTTCTTTAAAATTTATTTTCTTAGTACTTACAAGTTAAATCAAGATCAAAACCATCCTGTTGATAACGCCGCTTTTTTTTACTTACAATTTGACGCATTCGATTCATTGGATTAGTTATCATATAAACAAAATAAAAAAAAGCAAAAGGTCATTATGACATACATATTGAATTATTAATTATTATTCTCAAAAAAAAAAGAAAAAGTTCATCAAATAGATGATAAAAGATTTTTTTTAGTAACTTCGAACGATAATTTCCTTTGGCAATATTAAGTAGAAGCAAAAATGAAACGAAGTAAGAGAAAAATTTTTGTTATTCGTTTTTCAGTGTCACGATGTTCTTTCTCTTTTTTCCTCTTTTTGTTCCTAAGTGATATTTGTCAAAGAAAAAAAAAAGTATTGCTAATAACAAATAGAGACAAGAAGAAAAAAAGAACACAGATAAAAGATGAACTATCTTCAATATAATGAATCAATTGTTTTGTTTTTGTTTTATTGATTTTATCAAAAGAAATTAATAGGAGAGAAAATAAATGTTCGAGAAACTAACAATACAATAGACACGCATTTATCAAATCAAATGATTCATTGATAACGATATGAACGACCTCTTTTAGCGTCATTTTTTTTATCATTGGAGAAAAATTTTATCAATAGAAAACATGAAACACCTGACTGACAAATAAGTGGATATTTTCTCTGTCTATTACAGTCAGATAAATAATTTCAAAAATTGACAATAGTTAATCAAACAATTCAATTAGTTATTTGTACAACGAATAATAAATATGCGGATTTTTCAATTGAAATTTTAGCATCATCGATTATTTATGATCTTAAACACACAAAAAAAATAACATTTAATCATCCGACTAAAACCAGTAAGAATAATAATTTTTTAGCTTCAGGTTTTTTCTTCAATTTATTTTTCATAGAGTCCTAAAGCTCAATGTTTGATTTACTCGAGAAAATTATTTGCTGATAAAAACATTTAACCATGTATTTAATAAAGTAAGATAATCATCGCATTTATTTTTAAAAATATTTGTAGTATGATAAGTCTAACCTATATTTGTCTTTTAATTATTACGTTAAGTTATTGTAACGGTTTATAAACTAGATATTACAGATCTAAACAGATTATTGAGTCAGTCTATTTGAGACTGTCACAGATAATAATGTAACAATTCAATAATAGTTCCAATCTGAAGAATTTATCTGACCAAACAGTTGTCTGTTTTACGAATTGTTGTTTTAAAAAAATTCTTTTGATAAGAATTAAAATACACAAGATAACAAACTGTTCTATGGAAACTACAAATTTTAAAGAGTTACCACTTTGATTTAGGTTCAATAATTTTTTTTTTTTTATAGTTATTTCTTTATTTTGATGAATATATACTATCATGAAGGAAGATTCTATAGTTTGATAGATCGGAAGAGCTATCAAGTTTTTTTAACAATAATATTCAAAGTTGTTTATGCGAAGCTATCTGAATAGTCACTCAAGTAGGATGAGTCATCGACCTCAAAATTTCAGCAGTCATGCGAGACACATTTTCTCGATAATAGTTGATTAAATACTTAGATTAGCTTTAAAAGCTTTGCGTTTCGTCAGAGTCCTAGAAGGCTACAAATACCATCTTCATATGGCTCATGAAAAATTACAGATACTTTGTTAACATCAGATTAATTAGCTAAAATCCGAAAGCTGTTCAAACGATCGAGCTCTTATACAAAACAGTTAGGTTAAAAAGAACTGTTTTAATAGTTCATTAACTCATTTGATCAATACTTAAAAATTGGAGTTGTCATTAGTCTAATAAAAAATTTCAAATAATGGAATATCCTTGTTGCTAAACAGCCATATATGATCCTTTTTTTTTGTTAATTTTTTTTCATTAAATACAATAATGACTAGTTATAGATTATGACTCTACTGTTTATTTATCTAGTTAGCTTGTATATCCGTTTCGCTAAGTTACTATTTGCATTTCTAGTTGATTGTTATTATTGTGTAACATGAATCATTATCTAATTGCTTATTGATCCCTGAGTTATATCTATATTATCATAATATGACAGGACTTGACATATCCTTGTCAACTCGTTCATCATATTTATTCATATCGTTTATTTTTCTTTTTGCCTATACTTGACAGTAGTGGGTTACGGGTTCATGTTTTTGTGTACCTGAATCCGAGAAAAGCTAAACTTTCGAACTCAACCTTCACAAAAAAAAAAAATTTTGTACTCAAATTCAAGTTTTTTTCAATCAAGGTTTCAACTATTTATTGATTATTCTCAGAAAAAATATCAGCGTACAGTTATGTATTGTTGTTGACTATCCTATGACTCGATGCTTAATAAATTAAAAGTGTTTTTGCTTAATCGAAATGTGTATTATGTTAACAAAAACAGGAAATTGAACAGTTGATTGATTAACAAACTGGAATAGTTTTAGTTGTATTTATGTAAACAAGGTCAAGCAAATATATATTCTATGTAGTCAATCTAGAGACGTGTGAGTTCAAGTTTTTGTGGACCCGGATCTGAATCTGAAAGAACCTGCATAATGAAGAAACAGCAGGCTTCACGAGACTTTAAGAGAATGAGGTCTCTGCTGTATCCCTCTTGGATCCGTAGCGCTTCCTACTTGATAGATACACACTGTAGTAAATGAATAAATGTTTCCTATAGTCATATTGTTTGCATATACATAACCTCCTTAGTTTCCTATAAAAACACTCGTTTACTTCCATTTGATTATCATCATTATATTAGTGGCTAAAAAAAATTACACTGATCATAGCAAACAAATTAGGTTGATAAAAACAAACGATAGACAAAAGACAAGCTAATGAAATTCATACCTGATCATGAACAAACTAGGTCTACACAAAGTAGATCTATTTGAATGTTGGAGTGATATTTTCTAGGCTATCTTAGGGAAATAATCATTCATTTTTGTTTTTTGCATGTATGTTGTAATCCAATGACGATGTAGGTGATTTGAGGCTTTCATTTTTTTTTAAATTTTGATACATTCGTATTGATTCCAGTCAGCTATTTCTTTCTTACTTTTATAGTATCAAAAAAAAAATTTTTCTCGTCTGTTTTTTTCTGTACTCAAATTGAAAGAAAATAAAAATAAAAAATTACAATCTGTCTCGTTTCAAAAAAAAAAAAAACCATTCTTTCAATTCATAAATACGAACAACTAAGAAAAATATATTATAATTCATAAACATCTTTATAAGATTTCATAATTTTAATGATAAAGAACAAGTAGAATGTTTTAATATTTCGATTTCTTTTTTTTTTCAGTCAAATTTTGAATCAACATTTATGATTCATCTTGTTCTTTATTCTGATCAAAATGAATTCATAGGATTTTTTCAAATATATTTTCATTAAATTTCTGTTCATTTTACACACAAGAAATTTCTAAAATATCAATAATCAAATCATCTATTAGTACTGAAGAATCATCAACTGTTTCTTAACATTCAGTTGCCTATGATCAATATATGAATGAGGTAAATAAATATCAACAATAACTTCAACAGTAAATTTATTATTTTTTTTATTAGAAAAATTATGTCTTCTGTTTTTTTTTCCTATGAGATTTATAATGAATGCTAATCGAATCTCACCAGTACGTAATGTGACAACACAAACTTATTTACAATATTGCTATACTAAATTATCAAATGTAGCAAGTAAAAAATGAAGAAAAAAACAAGAGAAAATCTTAAAAATTGATTTTTGTTTTTAATTTTGTCAAAATTATTTCGGTCATCGAAAATCTATAACAGAAACTACATCTACTCCTATGTTTCCAAACACCGCCAATAAATCAACAGCTGTTCCACCACCATCACCAGCTGGAAATAATAATAATAATAATGAATTCGATCAACAAAATAGTCTATTAAGAACATTGTGTATTTTAATTGAACTTTTTCTACTTTGTTCAATTACTTCTGTTTATTTAACATTCAATCGTTTTGTTTTTGTTTTTCTTATTTTTGCATTGTTATATTTGTATGTCGAAGGAAGAGAAAAAAATCATCAAATACTATTCCTCTCTTATATTGTTGTTCTATTTGATTAGACATTGTCGTAGCTATTTAACTATTCGACAGCAACGACATGTACCACAAATATCACTCATTATTGAACAAAGACTTGATGACAAAAACAAATACAAAATCTAGATGAAAATTCAAATGATGTTCAACAACAACAACAAGTATGTTTATAAATTAAAATAATAAATGTATTGTTCTCATACTTCCAGAAGATCTCATTTCAAATCCAATATTATTTATATCATATTACAATTTCAACAGAATCGTAATATCCACCACTTGCAAATTGGAAAATCTCTTTACGTTCTATATAAAACTATAACATTATGTAATCATAGGTCAAAAGAATTCAAGCAAATCTAGCTATTGATTTGTCAGATTTATTTCAATTTCTTGATTTTTAATATCATCTCGATAGTGCGGGTAAGATTGTCTTTCACTAGCTGAATGTTTAAAATAAATATACGCATGATGGTCTCGGGTCCGAGACCACATTATGTTTTTTGCTGGAACCAGTGCCACAAGCGACTGTTTCCGTTTATGTCTAGTTGAAAATTACCAAGTTCAAATATATGAAGTAAATCTTCTAATTCAATAGAATCCTATTCTTTTGTTAGATTTACTTGAAACCTTTCAACTAGTTAATCATGATTGATGTTGAATTTCCTTCGCTACGTGAAATTCAGAAATTTCTCGATTGTAGATATATCTCGTCTCGTCAATATGAGTCTATTGTTGAAAATCAAATAACATCCAGACGTCAATGGCTGACAGCCATATTAATATTTTTCTCATGATTAATTTCAGAAAGAACATAACACATTTAATTTAGACAATAAATAAAGAATCTCATTTTATTCTTCTAGATGGATATCTAATTATTATAAAAGAAAAAAAGAAAATTTTTGATGGTTTTTCTCTATGATCTATGTCGATACGTATTAAAATAAAATATCATTGTTGTTCATTATTAATAATGTTTTCACGATGCATATCATCCATCTATAGATCTTTAAGTCAAAATTTTCCAAGAAAAAAATATCATTTATTAACAAATTCAGTATTAATTAATAATAATAATAAAGTAATTTTATTTAAAATAATTCAAGAAATATCATTCACATTTGGTTTATCATTATTTTTACTTTATCTTGTTTATCAATTATTTGGAAATTTTATATTAATTCCATTTATTATATGTGGAATACTTTGTAAGTATATTTTGGTTTTTCTTTTGAAATAAAACAAAACGCAGAAAAAAAAAAGAATGATTGAAGTCGATTAGAATAATATATATGTTTGTAGATTGTCTTTTTATTTTCTTTGTTTTCTTTTTTGTTTTTGTTTTTACTTTCCTGAATATCATGTAGTCGATAAAATCTTTTTTTTATCGATGTTCAATAACAAATAAGTATGTAAATGTATTTCTATTAATCATATAAAATTATTCTTTTTGCTTCAAAACAAAAAATAAATAAATAAAATCATATTTATGAAATTATTTTATTTTATTTTAGTTTCACTTTATGGTTTACAAGATGCATTACTTTATCAACCAGATGAACCAGATACAGCACGAATAATTGTTCTAACACCAGAATTATTTCAAATGCCATATGAAACAATAAAAATTGAAACATCGGATAATGAAAAATTACATGGATATTTAATAAAACAAAATCATCACTCAGACGAATGTGAAACATTAGTTTTTTTTCATGGAAATGCAGGCAATATTGGACATCGGTATGAATTAAATCGTAGATTTTTTAAGTCAAATTAACGCTCTCCTCTTTTTTTCTCACTTGGAAACTATTTAGGGCATTTAAAACATTCTCAGATTGATTGTTATTGAAAAATAGTCCAAAAAAACCATTATCATCTGTTCTGAATCATGAAGTCTGATATCTATAATTTCTCATTTCGAAAGCCAAGATAAATATCATATGCTAAAGTATAATCTGAAATGACAACAAAATATTAAAATGCGTAAAAAACCTTTTCTTGAATATTTATCTAGTCAATAAAAACACTCAAACATATCCTACATACTATTTATCTTAAAAATAAGAAATTTATTCTTTTTTTTTCTTTTCTTTTGATCATCATACTAACCTTAAAAAAGGAATTCAATATATAATATTTTTAGTCGCTTCTTCTTTTTCATTCTAAGAACGTTGAATTTTCAATTTAAATAAATTATAGAAAAAACTAATAAAAAAAAAACAACAGACTATATAAGTATTAATAAATTCATGCATATGCTTATTGTTCTTATGCTTAGTAATTACAAATTTATAGACTCATCATTGTTAACAGTTTTTAAATATTCATAAATAAAGCTCTCGAAACATCAGAAGACCTTCTTCTCCCTGAAAATGTATTCATTTGGTATTCATGTTCATAATAATATTACTATTCAGTATAGACCATATTTTGCTTCCGCTATCATAGCAAAGTATTAAGAAACAATTAATAAGAAAGGATAGTTTCTTGAAAAAAATACTGTCGAGTTATATCAGGGCTCTTTTGTAATATACCCTGAAAAATTCTTCAAGTTCCCTATACGACAAAAAAGGTTCCCATGGTCATGAAACCTAATTGACGCAGCACACATTCGCAAGGGAGTCACAAATGATGAAAAGATCTTTCTAAAGCAGGAATATATTCAGTGAAAACATCTTGTGTAGTAATTAAAAGGTTTCTTCACCATTGCACATTCTTCTGAAAATTTAAACATGTTTTTATCGCAAGACAGCGCATTCATAATCCCTCAGATATACAACATATCGAGATTTGTTCTATGAAGTACTCATTCAATCTGAGAACGGATCTCTCTTCGTAAAAAGTTCTAAAAATATTTTCTAAACAGACACATAAAAGAACAATTGAATTGATATTTAGCTGCTGCTGTTTTTATATAAACTGTTCCCTTTGCAGGCAACAGCATTCAATGGAAAATTTCTGAAGAACGACTTATCAGAAAATGTTGAGATTTTTAGGGCACGTAAGTTTTGACAAGTAGAACAGAAGTTATCACAGACGCAAAACTCTCAGATACTGTCTTCTATGAGATAATAAAATTATAATGACGAAAAATGGTTCCCTCGTTTCTTCGAGATATTATATTCGATCGAAGTGAAAATATTTTTTGACAGATTCTAAACACTCTTTGCCGTAGATATCTTTTTAGTTTTGTGTCCTTTAAATAAAAAAGATAAACTCTGAAAAGTGCATGTTTTTTTTTGTAAGCGCTACCAATAATCAGCAGAACAAACTTTTTTGAAACAAAAAAAAACCCACAATATATCGGATAAATGAACAAAGATTTTGGGTCACGAATGGGATATACCCTTAAGTGAATTTGACAATAAGAAATTTTAATTTTTCTCTTTTTTTAGTTATTTATCTATTGAGAAGATTAGATATTACCGTTGACAGATCTACAGTGAATAATAACGTGGAAATTAGGTGACAAAATGAAAGTGAACTTTTTGAAATTTAAATCGTAACTTTTACACTTTGATTAACAACCAATTTTTTCATAAAAAACAATTTTATCTCAGCTGCTAAATTAATTCAAAAAAACTTCAGTCACAAATTCGGCGCCTTTACAGAAAAACATAATTTTTTTTTGTGAACAGGAAAAAGAGTTGGATAGCTAACCATGTCTAGTTGGACGCAGTTAGAGCAAATGCGTCTGGACTGAGATATAGATTTTCTAAAAAAACTTGATTTTTAAAGATTTCTTGAGTTTTATTTGTTACCGAAGTGTTTTGAGAGAAAAACAAAGACAAATTTAGCATCAACGTGAAAAATTTCATTGAGTGATGTAATGTTATGTCAATTTTTAAAAGAAAAAGTTTCTTCAAAATAGTTTACGGCAAGTATATCCTCAGATATTTTCCATCAGAAATGAACTTTTTTTCATCAATTTTATTTTTAATTATAAGAAGTTAATATTTCAATGAAAAAAATCGTTTTTGACAGAAAATAAATCATGTCCATGTACTCGATTGACATTGCTCACTGTATAAATATTAACTTTATATTATTCTTGAGTTTTTTGAATCTTTTAGAAAAGAAAAAAATAAAAGCCTTAGTATTATTTAAGTTTTCTCTTTTTTTTTAATTAGATTACAAAATGCTCATTTACTCTATCGAGCATGTAATATTAACATTCTTCTATTTGATTATCGTGGTTATGGAAAATCAACTGGTAAACCATCTGAAACAGGTCTTTATATAGATGCACAAGCTGTTTATGATTATGCTCGTAAACGTACTGATCTTAATCAAGAAAAAATCTTTTTTTTCGGTCGTTCACTTGGTGGTGCTGTTGCATTGCATCTTGGTAAAAAAACAATAAAAATAGAAAAACGATATTCGAAAAAAAAAAAAATCTAAATTTTCATCTGTTTTTTCTTTTTATATTCTTATATAGCTTCGCATCTTGGTGAAACAAATGCAACTATACCATTGTATTGTGTTATTATTGAGAACACTTTTACATCAATACCTGATATGGCTAAAAGACTATTTCAAGTTTTTCTATTGAATTATATCCCTACATGGTGCTATAAAAATGTGGTATGATTTAAACAAAATTGCATCAATTCGTTTGTAATTTTTCTTTTTAATATAGTTTTCATCAATTAAAAAAATTCGTCATGTAAAAGTACCAGTACTCTTCATATCCGGTGCACAAGATGAATTAGTTCCTCCACAAATGATGCAGAGATTGCATGAGGTTTGTTGATAATATGATAAAATAAAATTGACCTTTTTGAAAATGTAGAATATTTTTGTAATTACATGATCTTTGAAAATTGCTATACATTTAGACGATTAGCAACTGATGAAATGTCAAAACCTTTTTCAAAACGAGCAAATTCAGGCTGATGATTACAGTCACCGAGGCGGCTATCAAAAACGATACTGTATACTGTCGTTTTATACAGTTTGCGGTCATGAATAGCGATAAATTGATGTTTGGCAGGCGAAATGCAATGATTGGATACTTGATTTTCAGACTGTTTTCAACTGTGTTCAGTACAATAAGGTATGCTCGTAATACTGTGCTTACCAAACTTCAATATACTGCTATTTACGATCCCCAAACTGTATGTAACAATAGTATGCATAATACCATTCGAATTGAAGATTAATATTCGATTTTCAAAGAACTTATTCTTTTTAAAATGCTTACATATTCATCCAAAAAAAAAACAAAAAATCTAACGAATATATTTCTTTAAAGGAATGTCCAAGTTCAAAAAAACAATTGATCTTATTTTCTGATGGTCAACATAATACAACATGGCTTTCACATAATTATACAACTCAGATATATAGGTTTCTTCATGAAGTAAATAATTTCATTTGTTTTATTTATTGTATAATTGTATATATATATATACATTTGTTTTAGTGTTCGACATCATTTGAAACAACGTCAACAGCATCGAGTGTTAATTAAATAATAAAAACAAATGTTTTTTTCAAAACAAAAAAACAACTAGGACATATATATAATCATTTTTCTGTTGAAATAATATTTAATGTTGTGTGAATGTTTCTATCTCTATATTTCAATTTTTGTCTTCTTCTTCTTCTTCATTTTATAATATTTGGAACAAAACCAAACAAAAAGAAATAAATACGATACTGATATTATTATCTTACAGTTGGAATAGAAGATTGCTTTCTAGTTTTTTCTATATATATATATATATGATTCTTATCAGTAAGTAATAATCACTTGTATCATATAAATGACAAATACGTAAACTTTGTGTAATTAACTGTCAGATTTATATGACTATCAATTTGTCAGTATACATACAATATGTCTATGTTTTTCTTAGTATGATGACAGTTATTATTGAATATAGACATCTTTATCATCATTGATATATGTATATAATAGGTGAATTAGAAATTAAGATTGACAAATGTAATATAAACACTGGTTGTTGTATAAATTCAGATTTGACGCAAAAAAAAACATGTCAATCTTTCAAATTTGCTGTTATTTTTTAATTTTGCTGCGTGTTATTATAGCATGATGAAATAGATTAATATGAAGTGTCTGTGCATGTTTTATATTATCTCCTATTTCTTTCTTTTAAATATTCAAACAATATGAATAGTTTAATATACAATAATGAATCATATTTCCATCGATGAATTTTCAAAAATATTTGCACGAGAGTTTTTTTTTGTTCCAACCAGAATTTTTTTCTTTGTAAAGAGAATGTTGTTGAATCGAGTTTTTATATCTTAATAATACATAAATATCCAAGATGATATCCAATAACTTCATGTAACTAGAATAACAGACAGTGTTCGTTCTCTTTTTTTCTTTTGCTTGTACAATCTCTGAAATGATAGCTAATAAATTATTATTGTTATTGTTGTATATATGTACTAACCAATGTCTCTAATAATTCTATATATTTAGAGGTGTTTATTTAATCAGTCAACTAGAACAATCAATTATATGTAAGATCAAAAAAAGAACGGAGTAGACAATATTAGTAATATGAATATATGACAATGTTCTTGTCATTTGTGCTGACATCCACGATAGTTCTTTCTTCTCAGAGACAATTATTCTTGTTTAAACTATGTATTTTCTATTAATTGTTCAAAATTTATCATAATGAACGATGTAATTATTAGGTTTCTTTTCTATTTTTTTATTCTCTTATTCCAAAGTAATGAAATCTATTCATCATCTCTTATAATTCATTACTCATCATTTGAACGTATTATTGATCAATTATTATATAATTCAACATTGCCTCAATGTACAATATCAACATGTGAACAAACTCAAACACAAGCAAATTTTTCTCATATAAAACTATCTGATGAAACCTTATTAAAATTAGCAATATATAATAAATCAGATAAAAAACATCCTGGACCATATCTTATAGCTTCAACTGGTATTTATCAAGGTAAACGACTTAAATATCGTGATCAATATATTGATCAATTTCTTGGTATTTATTATGGTGAATTACCTGAACCTTTAAAGAAACCAGTCAAAAAACGTTTTAAGTATGTATTACAAAAGGCAACAAAATTTAGTCCATCTTGTATGCAATCATTATCAGTGACAAAAAATCTTTCCTATGGTTCATTTATTATGCAACATGATTTTAATAAGAATTGTCTTTCATTAAATATTTATCGAGCTGATTTACGTTATGGAGAAAAACGTAAAGCCATCATGATATTTTCTCATGGAGGGTCAAATCAATTAGGTAAAAAGAAAAAAGAAAGAATATAATATCGTTTTATACATAAAATTAAATTTTTATTAGGCAGTGGATCATTATTTGATGGAACTATATTAGCTGGTGAAGGTGATATTATTGTTGTAACAATGAACTTTCGTCTTAATTATCATGGGTTTTTAGCAAGTGGAGATGATCGAATCAAAGGTATATATTATTGTTTTGTTTTTATAAACAAAAAGACAATGGAGAGTTTTATTTGAGATATTAATTTAATTTGAATGTTTCGTATTTTTTTTTCAAGATTATATATTTAATAGATGATTTCTAGTTATTTCTTTATTGAAACTAACGAATGACGTCAATTCGTTTGGAAATAATTTTCATCTTTTTATCCGCTTATCCTTCTAGATATGTCATTTATTATGGATGTGCTTCGTCAGAAAAAATCACACTATATTGTCTTATTTATAGAAATTTTAACGTTTTTCTTAACACCTTACAATTGATAGATTTTCATCATGAAACATAGAAACCTTTATCCTATAGATCAGTCTTTTAAAAATTTGTCAGTGTAACTTTTAAATACAAAACTTACATACTCTCTTGGGATATAGTAAATCAATAGCAAAATATGCAATTTAAGTTCCTAAAACCAAATCGTAATTTCAGTTCGAAGTATTGAGTTTCTACATTTTCTGTAGGTCATAAGTTTTTATCTCCCTTGATATTAATTGGCAATTTCTTTTTTGTACTAAATTATTTTTTCCGATTTACTGTCCGTTGATTATATCGAAGAGAAGAAATGAATAAATTACGAGATATTGCGACAATCAATGTTTTGCCAACACACGAGAAAGAAATTCAATAAAACAAAGAGAGATGATTGTTCAACTTTTGGATGAACATTGTTATATTATTCTTCTGTTATGACATTATGTTTTTGGAGTTGGATCTTTCATGCCATCTCGGATTCGTACAATCGATGATAAAGATCGTTCTTTTTGCAGCAAATCAATCACAATGTAAATATTGGGATGTGAACAATTTATTGGGTTTTTTTTTCATTCGAAAATGTCGATCTTTGAAACAATTAATAGTACGTGATGTTGTAGTACGTCTGGAAAATTGATTGTCGCAATGACTACTCATTTGTTCATTTATCTTCTTCGAAATAATCAGCAGACAGTAAATTGTGTAAATGGCATTTAATCACGCATTAAACTGTAACATGCTGTGAGATATGCTTATAGGGTATTTTTGTATATAACATATTGATTATTTTTTCAAAACTTATCAAGTACTTTGAAAATGTTTCATGTTCGTTTTGAAACCATCGTACAGAAGATGAGAATGAGTTTGTATGCATCACTTATAATAGGGAGCTCCGAGTTTACATTTTTATGCGTCTGGATTCGATAGACCCAGATCCAAGTTTTTTCATCCATATCTGATACCCCTTTGTCTACATGAACAAGTGAAGGATCAAGATTGCAGGTATTTAGTGGCTGATCTTAGAAAAAAGTCAACGTACAGTTATTTCTTGTTGTTTACTTACTCACCAGCTGATACCTAAAAAAATAAATTAAAAGTTTTCGCTCACGGACGGAACTACCCGAGATAATACTTCGCGTTTGAGATGTGATCGTAGTCATTATATTGCACATGTTGGGACTAGAAGAATTCTTCCCCTTGTGCTGCCCTTTTGATGGGTCTGATATCTTGAAAAGAGACTACTCATTCTGGCTGAAAATTTTAGGAAACTCTAACAACTTCAAAAATTGTCCGTGGGCAAAGTTTTAGGCCAAAACTCATTACTCCGATCTTTTTTTATAAATACCGTGCCAAACGTAAAAATTCGATGTGTAACGGCCATAACTTCCAAAGAGCAGTCCGCGTAGAAGAATCCTTGTAGGTTTCTGCAAGTTCTAAGTAATGACTGGAGTCTCATTTCAAACGCGAGGTATCACTTTGGGTAGTTGTATCTTTAGCTGAACAGAGAATTATGTTAACAGAAAAGGCAATTAAACAGTTATTCGATAAATACAATTCAGCATAATTTTCATGTGTATGAAATAGTTTTAGTAGTATTTATGTAGATGAGATCAAGTAAATAAGGGCGATGCGGATGCAGATTTTTGTAGACCCAGAGCCACACCTCGCTTATCCCTTGGCAATGGGTTCTGAATAAATCGAAAGCACCCACATTTAAGATACGATCCATTATCTTTTGTAATAAATTTAAAATAAACTGTACATAATGAAATTTATTTACCACAAAGGTAATTATGGTCTTTGGGATCAACTATTAGCTGTTGAATGGATTTATGAAAATGCACATTTATTTGGTGGTGATCGAGATCGAATAGTTCTAGCTGGTCATTCAGCAGGTGCTGGAAATGTTATGTTAATACCTGGTATATTAAAAATTCAATATTATTTCTTGTTTTATTATTGTTTTTTGTTCTATTTATTTAGCAAGTCATTATTCTCGTGGTATGATACGACGTGTTATATCACAATCGGGTACTGGTTTAGCACCATGGAGTATAAATAATAATCCAATGAAATTACTTGAACGTTTTTCAGAGGATATTTGTTGTAAACGTCCAAATGATAATGAAATGCTTAAATGCATTTATAAATTATTAGAAAAAAGTGATCGAGATATTTATCAGCTTCATATAAGTCTTAATATTGGTAAAGAAAAATGAAACTCGACAGAAAACAAAACGAATCAACTAAAATTGCTTTTGCTTCTTTTTTTAGCTGATGATAATCCATATCCCGTTATTGATAATGATTTTATAAATGATACAATTGAAAATATATTACAAAGTGATATTTATAAAAATATTGATTTTTTAACAGGTGTTACATTACATGAAGGTCTTTATTTTGCTGAATATCATATAAAAAATTTTTATAGTGAATATCCAAATTCATCAAATTTAATAAATCAATCTACTTCAAGTAAAAAATGTCCAAATATTTATTCAAATTTAACTACAATAAAATCATCGAAAGAAACGCCAACAATAAAAAAAACATCTCTACATAATAAACAAGATGGTATAATGAATTTTGAACGGCGAACAGATATTGAACAAACCTCAAGCAATGATTTAAATGAATATCTTGAAAATTTTGCTAAATTAAATTATATTGAAGAATATATTGATGCAAATTTTCAACATGGAAAATGTTTTATTGATGAAGTCAAAAAGAAATATGAATTACCAGGTATAATTAGAATAAGAAAAAATAAAAAATAATAATAATAAAAACGAAGAATATTTTTTTATTTAGCTCGACGTAATACAACATATCGATTAAAACTTTTTATTGATCTTGTTTCGGATTTAATGTTTAATTTTCATATGGTTCGTTGTTTAAATTTACTTTCTAAAGTATCAAATAGAAATTCATCAAGTTATGCATATATTTATTCACATCGGCCAACATCGAAAGTACACAGTGGATATCGTGATCAACTCAAATTATTACCACAAGCTATTGGACATTTCGCTGAATTAGGTAATTAAATAAATATTATCTTTGTTTATATTTGATAATTTACAAGTATATTAGAATCTGTATGAGACTAATATTGTTTATAATGATTAGAAAAATCGTATGATTAATCTTTTAAACATAGATATTTCAATGATTGAATTTTTGTTTTAATGAAATTTAAACAATGTTTTGTTATTAAATCTAAGTTTAAAAAACAAAATTGTTAGTTAAAAAACTTGCAATAATTTGAGTAGAAATATTTTCTGATCGATTAATCATATTTTGATAGAATTTTGATGAACTAGTGATAAGAAGAACTATTTTCATTAGTTAACTTGACTGTTGCAATAGACACTTATGTTCATTCCTATTGTGTAATGAAAAACTCAATGTGATTAATTTTGTATTTTAAGATCATCTATGTTGTTAAATAATAATTTTCTTTCGAGAAAATAATTTCGTACATCTTTATCCAAGAATAAAACTTGCAAGTTAAAAATTGGAAAGATGTTTTTCATGCGGCTATGCTTTTCTTGTAATATAATATGATTTTTTTCTCGTCTTGCATATTTGCCCAAAAATTACTGAAATGATATTATATAATATTATATATATAAACAATGGAACCAATATAAATCAGCTGCATGATAATTATTCTTTCATTAAAAAGTCAAGATTCGTTCCATTATCATGGATCATTTGATAACTGTACTCAACAATATTAGTGACAGAAAATTTATAAATTTTATTATTTAGAAAACAAGATTTTTCATTCTATATTCAATAGAATATGAACTAATTTGAAGCTCTTTAGTTGCTTGCAGCAATCGCCAAAGATTCTTTCCTTCGGAAAATTTATTAATCAAATTTTTAATAATAGAAATATTCTATCAATTTTATAACTAAATTTATTTGTATTTTAATAGATTATATTTTTGGTGTACCATTAGCACGAAACTATTCTCGTATACATCGAAATGTGAATATGAATTATTATAATTATACAAGTGATGAAGAAAATTTTAGTCGACAATTAATTCGTTATTGGTCAAATTTTATTAAAACAGGGTATGTTTTAATTTCTATGTCTAATATTTATTTACTCTTTTGTTAAATAGAGATCCAAATAAAGGTTCATCTTCTATTGGTAAATCTGTTGTTGAATGGAAATCATATACAAAAAAAGAACATAATTATCTGAATTTTGATTTAAATTCTATTCAAAATACAGTTAATTATTTTGATGAAATGTATAAATTTTGGCTTCACTGTTTTCATATTGAATCAACGGGTGTTTGCCAAAAGAATACAATTAAAATATATTTAATATTATTTATAATTTTATTAATTTTTCTATTATTTCTTCTAATGATTTATCTTCTTTGGAAATATTTTCAAAAGAAAAAACCAAGAGATGTATTTTCTCGTCGCTCACCAACAGCTTTACTCCCATATCCTAATCATGTATCAGCATAAAAAGACATCAGCTTTCTTCTTTTTTTTTCGTTTTCTTCTTTTTCTTTTCTGTTCGATGAATTATAATAATAAAAAATTTACATAAAAAGAAAAAAAAAAATCTATTGTTTTATTTTATTCATAAACAATTCTTGTTGATGATGGTTGTTTAGATTTCGATTTATTTCGTCGTTGATTAATTGGTGGTTCATCATCAACATAGATTACTTTAGATTTACGTGAACGTCGTCTATCTCTATCATCATCATCATCATCATCAATATATTCAACATATTGTTTTGATGGATTTCGTTCATCAATGAAATCAATTTCATTACCATTTTCATCAACATATATATATTCATCTTCATATTCACTTGGTCGTTCATCATCAACATAAATAACTTCACGACGACCTGAACGATGATGACGACTTGGTGTTGGACTTTCATCAACGTAAACATATTCTCTTGGTGGTGGTCTTCGAACTACTCTTGGTCGACGTGTTGACGCTGGTTCAACATAATAAGCATCATCATCGTCTTCATAATCTCGATAAGGTGTATCACGCAGGACACGTACGACTCGTTGAGGTCTTCTTCTTTCAATTGGACTCTCCTAAATAAATTGTAGAAATGAGATTAAATGTTGTTTTCCTTTTTTATTCTAAAGAAGAATCAACATGAAGCTGGAAAAGAATAATAAATCTATACCTAAATTGCTTTCTTTTTTTAAACATAAAAAGAGAATAAAAATAAGAAATCAAACATTTTCACTTATAGAATTGCGTTTTTTTTTGTTATTCTTATTGATAGAAGAATAACAAACTTCAGAGTTTTCTCTTTTTTTTCGTTTGTCATATGCTGTAAATCTGTATTTGTTGAATAAAAACAATCTGTTGCTGCTATAGTGATGCCATTGATAATGAGGATTTGAATACAAGATGATGCTGAAGGTTAACAATATAAAATTATATGACAAAAAAAGAATTAAGAAAGCTCGACTTTTAAATATACATGGATAAAGTTAAAGTTATCTGATTTATAAACATAAGCAATTGAAGCATAAAAGCATTAGTTATTTTCATTACTTACCGTACGATAATCATCATAAACATAATCAGATGGTTGTCTACGTCGCTCTATGACATATTCATTGTTTGCTATACGCATACGTCGAGGTTTTTGAGATACATCTCGGGATAAAGAAGAAGATTTTTGGTAATAAGCAGGAGGAGTAGAAGAGCGATTAGCACCGTTTTGTTTATTAGCAAAGCGTAAAGGTTTGGGAGGAAAGTCTTGTCGATCATTGGGTAAATTACGATTTTTTTGTATAGGTCGAATGACATCATTTCTACGGATAGGTTCTACACGTCTATTTTCAGGTGGTGTTGAAGGATTTCTAACGAAACGTTCTTTTGATGGTACAATACGTCGCGAATTTTTTTGTACTAAATCATCTTTTGATACTCGAGTATTTACTTCATTTCGTTTTGTTGATAATGCATATGTATCGGAACGTGGTGATGATTGTTTAGCAGCGGTAGGTCGTGGTAATTTACCAGTAGGTTTTGTTCCCGAATTATTGTTGAAACCATTCTGGTTTTTGTCTCGGAATTGATCGCGATAAGTCTTTGACATATGAAGTTTTTCTTAGCCTTTTTCTTCCTCGTTTTCTGTCACAATAACCACTTGAGAAAACAAATTTGACTGACTGCTCTTATGTGTTACTACTCCGTCTTTTTATTTTTAATGACTTAAAATTGTTTTTTAGCATTTACGAAAAAATAAAACGTCAATGTTCTCTTCTCGTTCTCTTTCTCAATATATATATTTTTTTTTGGCTCTTTCTTTCTTTTTTTCTTTGTTGTAAAATGTTTTGAGCAATAAATAAAACTAATTCCATATATATTTACGCAATACATGAGATGAAAACTTCGTAAAAAAAAAACAAGAAAATTTTACCTGAGGAGCACGAGATACTATTTGTGGTTGTACAAGTTGTACTCTTCTTGTTGTTGGATAACTATAGGGATAATAACCAAAACCACTTGATATGGGCATAAGTTCAAGTTCTTCAGTAGGATTTTCGTCAATAACTAATACTTGATTAGTATCAATAGGTAATGGAGAATCAGTTGATATGTCTTGATTGTCTTCAATAGTTTCAGTTGGTGTTAATGTTGTTATTTGTGTTGCACACTCCTATTAATAATGTTTTTAATTTTTATTACAGATTTTCTATTTTTCTGTCAAAAAGTATAGAATTTTTTATTTAATAAAAACAAATATATGAAAATACCGGTAGAAGTGTGAAGAGCATCAGATATTAATTCGAAATGTAACCTATATGTCGAGCTGAGAAATATCTTTACGATTGACTTAATCAGAATTCTTCATAATCAATTTTTATGTCATAAAATTTTCCAATTGACATTTTCTTTATATTCGAGAATTAATATGACAAAAAACAAATGTTTTAGTCTTGATTGTTGTTATATTCAAAACTTTAATAGAGAATTGAATCTTTGTTTTCTAGTTAATCAAATATTAATACAAGATTTATTTTGTCTTATTGAAAAGTCTTTTTTGTCTAAATTATTAATATTGAATTCGAAAAAAGGATACAATAGAAAACCTTTAAAATGTTATTTTTTGAATTATATATATCATTATTTTTTGTTTTTGGATTAAAAAAAGTATACACATTATATTGTAAACATTTTATTATCTATCAATATTTATATATAAGGTGGAAGTTAAAACTATCATCAAAACACGAAATTTATGAAAAATTCGATTAAAAAAACATTTTTTATGATGTTTTGAAATTTTCAAGGGAAGGTCATAGAAAATGCAGCAGCAGCTCATTTTATTCTCTTTAAAATTGCATTGTTAAAAAGTAATCCTCTAGAATCTGAAAATTGCCGTGTTCGGTTTTTTAGAAATCTAGCTATCATAACTCATCTATGAAATCTTGTTAAAAAATCCATTATATAGAAAATTCCATTGGCTATTAAAGTCACAATCTGAATTTGAGCTAATTGCTTAACATTATAGAAAAAACACATTATTGTTAAACTGTTTTTCCACCACTTTAAATACATATACCATATAAAAAGTAGAAATATATCATGCTCTGAAGTACTCATTGAGACAGAAAAAAATATTTAGGAAAAAGAAATTTTTTTTGAAGTTTGAACGATTGATCATTTAAAAAAAGATTTTATTTAATATTCACTTACACGAGTCTCCGGTGAAGTTCTAGATAAAGATGAATACGTAGGACAAGATGAAAGAGAACGATGCGTATCAAAATCGTCAAGATCAGTATGCAAACGTCGTAATGGCCATTGTTGTTGATATGCACCTGTTAATTTATCAAAACGGTTAGGCGCTGATTGTGAAATTTGGTTAACACGTTTATAATAAATAGGTTTGGTTGTTGCTTTGACTGTATTAACAGGCAACTGTCGTTGTAATCGATCATTTGCCTGTTGTCGTTCTGTATTTATTGGTTGCATCGTAACACTTCAAATATATTTTTTCCAGTATTTTACAAAAAGAAAACAAATGTTAACAAATCGTTTTTCTCTTTTACTTAAAAAGCAAAAATTTCATTAGATGATTTTAGATTCCATTTTTTTAATACTTTTACTTTTTTCTCAATCAGAAAATCACAGTATGATTTCAATTATCTCGGTTTTTTTTTATTCGTTGTTAAAAACAAATGAAGAAAAAAAAATATTAGTGAGATGATATAAAGGTGTGCATTATGAGGGTAAAAAGAAATTTAAGACAAAAAAAAGAGAAGGCTGAGCGTGCATTTTATTTGCTTTTGTTTCTCTATTATGAAGAAGAAAAAGTGACTGAACAAAACACAAAAAGAAAAAGATCGTTTGCATTGTCTAATGTAAATCATCTACTCGTCTTCTTTGCCACGTTTGATCTGTCGTGTAAATGCACCATAATCAAGATTTCCCTTTGGATCTATTGGAGCACCATCAAGCATTTGACTGAACTAAAAAAAAATCCCAAAGAAAAATAATATTAATAAAAATAAAATAAAATTTTTCTTTACCTCCATATCGGTTAATCCTTAAAATAAAGAAAAGAAAACAAAAATAATTAATTACAAAATAATTATAATTTTATTTACTTTCATCTGGACGTCCTTCACCAGTAAGTACTTCTCGTAGACTAAAATAGAAAAGAAATTTTAATTTATTAATTCATTGATAATATAATTTTACCTTTTTTGATTAATAAATCCGTGTCCTTCTTGATCGAAATTTTTCCATGCATTTAAAATAACATTTTCTTCATCGGTACCATTTAATCGATCTCCGAATAATGTCAATAACATAGTAAAGTTAACTGCACCTTGAGCTTCATCAAGCATGGCTTTTAGTTCAGCATCTTTTGGTGCTTTTCCTAAACAAGATAAGAAAATATTTATTTCAAAACGAAAAATTGATTTCGTTTTGTTTGTTTTTCTTACCAAGTGATGCATATACTTCTTTAAGATCATCCATACTAACTGTACCATCACGATCTTGATCCATAAGATTAAAGGCCTAATGAAAGAAAAACAAAATTTGGTTTTTCTTTGAAATGATTTTTAGATTATTTTTTTAATTGCATACTTCTTTAAATTCTTGTACTTGTTTTTGATCGAACATTGAAAATACATTACTAGTGGCACGTTGAGCCTTCTTCTTTGATTTTTTCTGTTGAAAAAAAATTATATTCGATCAATATTAATCAAATAATTATAATATTAGTCCTTTGTAAATCATATGGTGAATGGTGTGTTGGGAAACAAAATGAGGTGTTAGCATGGAAAATATGAATGATATATCAAAATATAATTCTTTAACATGCGTCATAAAAAAACTGAGAACGTCCATAGAAAAATAAAAATAAAAAAATCAAAGAGTCATATGTGCGATGGGACGAATACTGAAAATGTGTAAATAGGTATGATAATACAATGCCATGTAAAACTTACTTCTCCCTAGAATAATCAAAGTGTGATTTTATTTAATAACTTAGTTTTATATTAGTTAAGATTGATTTCAAACAATAAAAGTAATATCCTCTTTTTTTCTTTTTTGCTTTAGTGTATCAATACTCACGTCAGTCATTGTTGAGCTTGAAAATGTCTAAAGTGTTGAATCTAGTTCGATGTTGTACGTGGTACCACAAGCAGCTTCTTACTGGGAAATACTACGAGCAAAGGAACACTCAGAGTCTATATCCCTTGTTCTCGCTCTCTCTCTCTCTCGTCTTTTTTTTCTTGTTTCTTGATATTGTTGTTGTTATTGAGGGAAAAATTGCCTTTTTTGGGTGCTATGTTACGCCAAACGTAAGAAAAGAAGAGAAGAAATATGGATAACCGCTGTGGATATTAACAGCGATTTTTTTCTCTTCCTGTGTGAGATCTGTTAGCGTATGTGTAATTCTTAACATATACATTTTTCTGATGGAAACGCGCCGATACATCTCGATCTAAAACGATCTCATCTATCGTCCTGCCGCGTGTACACTAATAGGCAAAGAGGCCTAATCTGGTCATGATGAAAAAGATTTGCTCTTTCTCTTGTACATATTATTCTAGACATACTATTTAGTTTGCATATTATTGGTCTTAAAAATAGAAGACAAAAGAAGGATAAAGGGAAAATGAATGATTTGCCTTGAAACAGATAGGAAATCTGTTACTATCATACAATAATAGATTCTTTTCTTTCTCTTGTCACAGTTAGGTCTTTATTCATTGCTACATTTCCAGTCAACCATATATCCAATGCTAATAGCATTTATTGGCAAATCAATAAATGGAAAAAAAAGAAACGCAAGACATAATATCTAACAATTACGACATTCTTCAAATAATAATAAACTTGTGTTTGTTTCTTACGACGACATATAGAATTGATATAACTTTCTTTCTTTTTTATTTTGTTCAAAAATCGAAAAGAAACAAATAAAACGTTATAATATAACAAGTCAAAGTAAATAGTAAAACAAATCATCTGACAAAAAAGAAAAAGAAAAATGACACAACATACAATACAAATGTAACTATAAATCAATTGATAATGTTTGCAATAAATTTTTGCGAAGATTTTGTATATTAGTTAAAAAATCGGCATATGTTGAATACTCATTAAGATTTGTTTTTGTATAAATATCATTAAGTTTGTCAATAATGGGTAGTAATGAAACAAAGTCATTTCGACACGCATCTGTTAATGGTATCATTGCCATTGCTATCTTTTCAATCTGGTTGAAATCGTTAAGATCAATTGATATTAAATAGCGAGACATATATGAACACCAATTATGCTTAACTAATTCATCACGAATATGAATACTAAAAAAATTAAAAAACAAACAAATTATCATTATACAAGATAAATTAATATTCATAAAAAAGTGAAACGCAATAAACATCAGATGTATTTACTTCAAAAGTTATGTGATCATTTTTAAGATTTATGTGATTTTTATCAGCCGTAATGATAGATAATCTTATGTGCATAACTAGTAAAGCGTGTATAATGAGATTTCTTGTTTTCGAGTTGTATATGTTCTTAAGTCTTGTGGAGTTGTACAGTTACAGACAAAACTCGTTATCCTCTCATTTGTCTTACGCATTATCAGAAACAAGAGTAAATCTTGGGTATTTTTTCATATGAAACTTAAGTACAATCTACGATTTTTGTTTTCAATCAGTAGATAAATTCATTTGCTTGAATATTCTTGTTTCTAGATCCTCAACATTAACAAAATGATTATCCGTATGTCATTTCCCTTTTGGTATAACAATCATTTCTGAAGCTTGTAGATAACTATGTGAAGATATGGAGAAATCTTCTCGAAAATATAGTAAACTAATTGCAATTCTTGAAGAAATTGACGAACCATTATAAAATTTATATGACACATAATGACATGTAAGTCGATCTACAATGCCCTTTGTCTATAAAATTATAAAGCTGAAAGCAAAAATAGACATCATTCGTCATAACTCATTGACTGTTCAAGCAAGCAGAATGTGGGTAATTCTATTGATTTATAATCATGGTGAAGTATGGACATACAAATTTTTAGACTTCTATCTAATGATGAGCGAAAACAATCATTTTTGATCTCGGTCAGAAAACGTTATTCGTTCTGATTTTGTCCTTAGCAATACATGCACTAGCAGAAAATACGATATGATTTTCTAGGAGTGTCAATAAGCTTGAGATATCCTTCAGGACTTTGAATATCCTTCCTCTTTGACGTTCGTTAATTTTCATAATTTACTAATACTTCATCTATTCCTATTCAAAAGGAGAAAGACTTCTGTCCAACGATTTATATCATTCAAGACATCATTGATTATTTTCTTTCTTTGATCATTAGATTATAGTCAATGTTTTCAATAATGTTTAAGTAGTATGAACTAAGAAATTTACTTTTCATAGGCATGTTGGTTATCATCCGTAGCTTGATCCTATAAAAAATAAAAACAAATAGTTATTTCTTTTTCTTTGTGTATTGTTTTTTTCATTTTACTTTTTCTGTAATAAGATCATTCATAAGTTCCATAGTTCTGGTTTTTATTTTATTATTTGAATTATTTTGTTCGAAGATTTTAATTATTGTTTCAATTCCACCATGTTCAAGAAAATTTATTTGTGCTTGGGGAAAATTTCTTAATAGTGTTGATAATGTAAATAGAAAACGATATTTAATATTATTATTTGTTTCTATATTTAATAAATGCAATAAATGTCGAACAAAACCAAGATTTAATCCTTGTAATTGAACTTTAGGATTTCTAAAAAAAGCAAGGTTTCCATTAGAAAAAAAAATCATTGTTCTTTCATCCTTTTTTTTTTACCCTTGAAAAGCTGCACCTAAGGCAATACTTGTTAAATAACAAATATCATCATTCTTTGTAGTTGTTGTATTAAGTAGTTGAATAAGTAATTCAAGACCATTCTTATCAGAGAAAAGTATTGCATTATCATACTAAAAAAATAAATTTGGTTATTAAAAAAAAGTTTATCAAAAACAGGGTGTCTCGAACAAGAGACAAAGCACTGGACATCCAGATGGATTTTAGGTGAAAAATTGAAAGCGCACTTTTTAAGGGCTTAACAATATATATTTTAACCATATGGGTACTTTAATGACATGAAAGTCTTTGTTTCTCTTGTTTGCATTAGTCAGAAAACCTTCTCGAACAATGTCACTAGTAAAGATTAGGAGTGGAGCTCGTCAAGTCCAAATTTTTTGGATCCGTGAGCAAAAAAGAATATATATATAATCTGAAACTGTTTTTCGCTCTATCAATTTGTAAGCTAAAAAGCACTTTCGCTTTTATTAATATCGGATTATAATAAAGTCATTCTTATTTCACGCTAAAAGCTTTTATGGAAGCCTGTGTCCATTATAATAAGCTTGCACAACTCTATTTTGGAAAAAACTTACTCCACCCATAATACTTATATAGTGTTAGTACGAATGAGTGTGAACGTTTCACAGCTGTATTATAAGTTTTCTAGATAAAACTCATTTTTCTTGATATAGAAATACTTTTATTGAAGACTAACTTTATATTTGAAATTAACACCCAATGACATATAGTTTATTAGTCTTCTTGTAAAAAACAGGCCACTATGTAGTATCCGTCTAATCTTGAGAAATTTTCGTCTTTATTCAACATTTTATTCGTTTTTTTGCTCGCTAATCCTCAAAAGATGCTCGTTCTGATCTGAAAAATTCGATCAATTTTAGCAAAAAATCTTTCAATTAATCTTCTCAGTTATTAACTCTCTTCTCATCCTAATCCCGGTGACTTCAGGACATTCCTAATCAAAAAACAAAAACAAACCTGATGAAGATAAAATTCAAGATCAGTTAAAATTGTTTTAAGAGTATCTTCATTCTCAGTTTTATTTAATTGATCAATAAGATTTGTTAAAATTTCATGATCAGTTTGAATTTTTATGTTCATTGATTGAAAATCTTTTTTTAATTTATCATATGGACGAAATTTTGTTTTAATTTCTTCTTCATGTTTCTATAGAAAATATAAAAACTAAATACTTAAAAGATTATTTCTTTAAATTTAATACTTTATCTGTTATAATATCATCTTTACTTAAATCAAGATTAGCAAATGCTCGTTCAAGATTCTTTTTACTAATTTTTTCTTTTTCATTATCATTCGTTGAAATTGGAATAATATCATTTGACGTAATTTTTTGTTTCGTATCTTCAAGTAATTTTGCTTCTCGAAGACCAGTTTGTAAATTCAATCTAATATGAAGACCAGGTGGTATAGCTTGACCTTAATAAAAACAAAAACATTTGAATATATTATATTTAATTGATTAATAATAATTATAAATACCTTCTTTTACAATTTGCCATTCATTTGTAGGAATAAATTCTTCATAATTTTTAATAAAACTTTCTAAAATTTAGAAACAAAATTTCTAAAAAGAAAACGTTTTATTGTTTGTTTACCTTCAGATTGTTGTGTTTTTAATGGAATAGATGATAATGATTGAAAAGTTAATGATAGAATAATAACTAATAAATATGTAAGAGAATACGAATCAATCGACATGTTTTATTTATTATGTTTGAATAAAATTCTTTTTTTCGTAAATGAATAAATTTGAAAAATAGAAGAAATTTAACAAATGCTTACTATTTATATAGATAAATTGAAAGACAATGCTGCAACGACAGCGATTAGTTACATTGTGAGGAAATTCAACGTGGCACGCAAATCGTTGGTTGTTCATTTTTTCAAGATGTTAAATTTGATGGATGACTCATCAACGTACGTTTTGACGCGTACCAATAGCAATGATGAATGATAGAGTGTATTATATATCAAATCATGTTAAAATTGTTTTATTTCTTCAAACAAATTTCACATACAATATTTCCATTTTGACAGCAAAACTTTTTCATTTCAATTGGTTGCTGACAAATATTACATAAAAAACAAGTATTATGAAATTGTTTTCCATCAAATTGACTTAAAATTTCTCCTGTTAAAAATGGTTCTTTACATATTATACAATGTGGTCCATTATCAATATGACAATTTAAACAATAAAGACATCCATCTTCTTGACGAAAAAATCCTTGACTAACAATTAATTTTTTACAATTTCCACAACGAAAACAATCCGGATGATAAAACTCATATTGATACATTGATATAGTTTCACCAACAAGAAAATTTTTTCCACATTTTTTACATTGATCATTTAATGTTTGCGATGTTTTTAATGTCATTATACATGGTTCAATATCATTCATACATTGTTGACAATATAAAAAATTATTTTTCGAATAAAATATTTTATTTTTTAATGTTAATCGACATTTTTTACAAATAAAACTAATAAAAAAACAAACAAACTAACTAACAAGGGAATGTTTGTAAGTGTCAAATCACTTTAAACCAGATTTTTACGGTATTTTTTATATAAAATCCCGTCAGTCTCCCTCAGGAACACTGCGTTTCGAATTTCGACTTGAAATTTTGCATAAATAAAGTCCTCAATGATATACAAGTTCATCATGAAAATTTCACTGACTTTAGTGCTTCGTGTTCGGAGATATCAATATACGAAGAATGATTGCTTTTTTCGTATTGAAAAATTTTTCATCATTCATATCTCAAAGTAGATCATACAAAAATCAGTGAAATTTTCACAATGAAATAATATCATCGAGAGATTTGTTTTTTGAAAAATTACAAGTCGAAATTTCATTTTCACGATGATTTAACCCTTTACCCCCCATTGGCAATTGGAATTGCCATTTTTAGAAACACCGTAGAAAACTTAGCATCTGAATTATTAAGAATCTTCTTGGATATTTTCTGTAGGAAACTCCATAAGCTACCGATTGGCAAAAAAGAGAACTTTTAATCATAACTCTGTTTCCAAGACACAAAACTTACAAAAAAGAAGAATAGACGATTATTTTAAAAAAGGACCCTTTGTTTTTCTTTTGNTGCCAAATCACCGTGCGTACAGGTAAAGGATCCTGGCCAATCTGATGATACTATTGAACTACTAAAGATAACAGTACTCCATTTCACTAATTGTTTTATTAGTGTCTTCTCTGGAACCGTTGTGGGGGGTAAAGGGTTAAGGAAGACGAAAGATTTCAGTTAAGAAATCCAGTAAAACTTCGATATATCAAGAACAAAGGCTCAGACAACCAAACCACCTTAGGCTTTGTCAATACTTGTTTCATAAGCTATCACCTTAGTATATAGTCTTGCAGAGATGACACCGATATCGGTTTTCTCATAAGTTTGAATTTTTTATTTTATTCTTTTTACCATTCATTATGATATTCTTGTCCTTGAAATTCAATAATAATGGATGTTGGAGTAAATATTTGATTACATTCAATACATGATGAACATCGTTTATAATAACATGTTTCACAATAAACTTGTGGATTAGATATCTTTAATTAATAAATATGAAATAAATAAGAATATTTATTTCTACAGAAAAGTATTACATCTAATTGAAGTTTTTCATCGAGATAGAATGATTCATGTGATAATTGTTTTTTACAATCAATACATAGAAAACAATGAAAATGATATTGATGTTGTTTAAATAATGCAACATTTTCTTCATGTTGAAAATAATCATTACATTTTTTACAGCTAACATGCAAACATACAAAAAAAGAAACAAAAGATTTTTTTTTAATGTTCTTTTTTTTGGTTCAACTCACATATTAGTTTTTATTGGTACATTAATCATAAATAAAAATACAAATGAAAATTTATAATAAAAATGATTCAAGTCATTACCGCCAAAGATCTATTTTTTTTAGATTTAATATATACTTTTCATGTTTCGGTATCTATAATTATTAGTAAAGCAGTGAAGAGAAACTGGTTAGCATGCTTTGATGTATTAACATTTACAAAGACATAAAATGTAGTCAAATGTACGCTCCACTAATAATACTAACTATCATAATATTTCTGTTCTTTTTTTTAATGATAAATTTGAGTTTGGTATGTAATTATAGACAAAAAAAAATCTTTTTTGCTGTTTGAATCAACACTGGTCATTCGTTATTAAACGAACGATGGAATTATCTTAACTGATTTCCAGCTCCCAACATCATCTTTTTGCTATGACTAGTTCTCAATAAGACTAAGAAAGCCCCTAAAAAATGTTCCTGTTTATGACTTTTCGTTTTCGAGATATGATTTATATTATGACAAAAAAAAAAAAAATAGGACAATTTTTCAAATTATCGTACATTTATCACTCGAATAACTTGAGATTAAAAATAGATTCTTTTTTTATTTCAAAGTTGTAACAATCAAGAATCTACTCGGTGATGTTGAAAACCTTCAAGATAAGTCAATAAGTATTTATGTGTATACCATCTGTATTGTATAAGTTTATGAAAAACAAGTGCAGTCATTTAGAAATAAATAAGTGTTACTAATTTTACAATATTATTTCGACGTCATATTACAGTTAAGCTCAAAATGATATTATGAGAATCATATATGAATGATAATTTGCAAAAAGTGATGAAAAACATTTCGTTTTTTTTATTCTTCATAATGTTAATCTTATGTTCGAAACAAAGAATCGTAAATACAAACGACGCTTGTAAGATTTTTATAGTCTTTTTGAAACCTATTTATAGTCAAAACATAAATTCAAAAGGTTTTAATCAAATTGAAATACTTCTCTTTTTAAGATTTTATGGCTACACAATGAAAAATAAAGATCTTAAACTCAAAGTTCAAAATCACACATACAATTAGAGAGTTGCTGGTCCGAGTTCACAAAAACGTTGATTCACAGTTTCCTGCATACTGTTCATTAAATGATTGTCTTTGATGATGAATCAAACACATATTTGCATACCATAAGTAACAGAACATTTTATAGTTACGGTAGACTCAACGATGAGCAAATTTTATGTTCAAGTTATAGGTGCTGAAAGACTAAAGGTTTGAACCAAATTTTGTAACGCATGTTTTTCAAAGATGAAGAAACATTGAAGCCAAATATTTTCTTATCAATTGATTGTTGATGGAATTCACTATAAGGCATGTTTCGTTTATTTTCTACAATCGTTCTACAAATGATCTTCATCATTAACTAAGGATAGAGTAAAAGATTAAGTAGACGTATACCTTAATTAAAAGCATTAAAACTATATATCAATTGAAATTTATAAATTATAGAGCTGCAAGTTCTTTCAGACTCCACAAACACATAGATCTGCAACTCTCAAGATCCAATTACTTTCAAATAAATATCTTTTTACATCAATATGTTTTACATATTGTAATAAACATCTCATAAATCTAGATATATATATATAATATATATTATTGAATGATCATCTCATATTTTGTATTTGATTGAAAATATAAAAAGAAGAAGAGTTACGACAATACAGAAGAGAGAAAAAAAAAAAGAGACGCTCAATATCATACAATGAATAAAATGTCCACAAAAAACAAAACACACACTCCGATGACCATGTTCGAATCGTAATCAATTGTTTAATCTAAAAGCAAAAATGTGTAATTGTTATCAATAACACATATCACAAATCATCAAAACAAAAAAAAAGAAAAACACTCTATCACATAACATCCCATGAGACAACTTTACATATCTTACCTCGTTTTTTTCTTTCTATGGTAATATTGGTGAATACCATATATGTGGTCCTCCACCGTATGATGACATTGACGACATATTTTTCATATGATCTAAATCTATAAGATTTCTTTGAATTTTTCAATCAATTAAATTTTTTATATATTTCTATACCTGATGATAGATTAGTTGGTATACTTGTTGAATAATTAGGACAAGAACGATTATAAGGTGAACTAAATGGGCTAAGTCCATCATAACCACGTGCTGAACCTATTATAAAAATACAAATTGAATTATATATCAATTTTGTTTTATTCTATATAACACAACAAAAAACAAAAAAGTTTCCTTTAGGGTATAGACATTTCAATTAAATTAATTAAATTATTTTATAAATGTAACTTACTAGGAAAAAATGTTGGATATCCACTAGAACTACATGCAACTGCAGCAGCAGCTATTTGTCCAGTAAAACCTGAACTAAATGCTCCATATTGATGATGATGATGATGATGATGATGATTTGGATCATTATTTGTTGGAAGTACTTGAGGATAAAGTGATGATGTTGATGATGATGATGTTGGTTGTATGTGTTGTGATAATGAAAGTGGTGGTGTTGAACCTGATGGACGCATATTTTCTCCCATATCATTAATTAATTGTTGTTGTTGTTGTTGTTGTTGTCGACGACCTTTAACTTTATCTTCACGACGATATTTTGCTCGACGATTTGAAAACCATACCTGAAAAAAAAAAAAACATATTTTGATATTGTTTTTATTTTTTCGTCTTTTGAAAAAACAAAACAAAATCTCATACTTGAATTCTTGCTTCAGGTAAATTAATTTTTTGTGCAAGTTTTTCACGTGCATATACATCTGGATAATGTGTACCATTAAAAGCTAAAAACAAATATTCATATATATATATATAAATAAAAAGATTTCTTTTTTCTTTTCTTTTATATGTACCTTGCTCTAAAGCATCAATTTGTTCTTGTGTAAATGATGTTCTATTACGTTGTAATTTACGTTTTAATTTTAAACGTTCTTGTATAGCTTCATCATTCTCATTTAAACCATCACGTACAACTGTTTTGCTATCATTACTTGCATCAGTCAAATCTAAAGAAGAGAAACGAAAAAGGAAAAAAAAAATTATTTTTTCTTCTTCTTTTTCTTCTTGTCATTTACAATCGAATGAATAAAAAGAATGTCATCAACGATGTGGAAAAATGTACGGATTAGAATGAGATTGAACATCTGTAAAATAATGACACAAGTTTTTTTTTCTTCTTCTTCTTCTTCTTTAAGAAACATCCAATAAGATATTAGTTTCTTATAGATTGAGAAAAAAAAATCAAATTATTACTTTTTTTTTGTGTAAAGAAATAAATCAGTACCTGGAGGGCATTAGTAATTTATTCTAATCAATACAGGAGAGGAGAGCCTCTTTATTAAAATCCTATGAATTTTATTGCTTGAAATCAAAGCTTTAGCCGAATATACTCAATTGAGTTTTACTAATCACTATTTAACGAGTCTTTTATATCAAGCCCGGAGGTAGCGCTACTTCGAAGATCGGATTGACGCTTCTGGGATCTGTGATTATTGTGCTACGTATCTGTGGTTTCACAAAATAGATGTTCGCACTTCTCCCGGACTTTTAAATTGTCTTGCCAGAAGATAAAACACTACACATACTATGTTTCTGTACTTCTAGAAATATGTATTTTCCTTTCCGGAAGAGAAAATCTGGATACAACTTTGAATAGAAAAGTTTTTTTTTAAATTTTACCTCCTAAATCTTGATGATGTCCATGATTAGCATCATGCGTTTGATGTTTATATTCTGAGTTTGAATCTCCACTAGTTGAATATGCTGTTGATGGTGGTAGTGCACCAGGATGATGAACATAAAATGATGATGATGATGATGATGGCCATGGTTGACTTTGTAAAACGCGTAATTTACTATCAACAGAATAATATGTTTCATGATTTGTCATTGAATCTAAAGATTTTGAACCGAGATTTCTTAAGACTCGATTTATTGAAGATACCTTAAATAAAACAAAACACGATAAACATTTATATTTTTTATTTATAGTAGACGTACACTTGGTATATTTTCTGGATTACAAACATTTTCAGCCAAAAGACGATCACGAATTTCCCATGCAAATATGGACGGTGTTTCACGTTTATATTGAGCAATTTTTTGTACAACATCATTTGTTGCTACACGAGGTTTAGAACCTCCAATTGCACGTGGTTTTATTGAACCTGTTTCATAATATCGTGCTAAAATTTTTGATACACAACCATTTGATACTTGTAAACACCGACTAATATCACAAGGACGCATGCCATTGTGAGCAAGTTCAACTATACGTGTTCGTGTACTATCCGGTAACGGTCGACCATTAACAAATAAACCTCCAAGTTGATTAACTCCTGAATGGCCTAGAAAAAAAATAATATATATTTCTCATTACATATTCATGATTAATATTAAAAAAAAAGAAAAAGAAGGAATAGTAACAACACTTGAAATTCATTGCGCTGCATAAAAACTGTGATCAACCCGCCGGTGATTGATCATATTCTAATTTCTAATCAAAACAACAACCATAATAGTATGTTTTCTTTTCTAATAACGATTTCTTAAAAATGAAATTGTTAAATGTATATAAACAATAACCTTACGGACACTTTTTTTTTGTGTGTTCTTTTTGATCTAAGACTCAAGTAAGGATAACACGTACCTTTATGTGCCATTGATAAATCATTATGAATATCCATTGTATTGATAAACTAGAATAAGATAAATAACAATCAAAAGAAAATATACTTAAAACAAAGAATAAGAAAAGAAAGAATAAAAACTATTTACCCTGACATGATTTCGAACTATTCTTATCTGAATGTCTGTTATGGTATATGTGTATGTATGTGTTTTTTTCTCTTATTCGTTTCTTTTTTTTTGAGTTTTTTTCTATTTTCTATAATTGTGATTTATTCAACTATATAGTTAATGTTCATTGAATCATGTATTTATTGATCATCAACAGTCATTCATTGGGGCGTATGTGTTTTCTTTTCAATATAAGAATCCGAAAAAAGAAGAAGAAGAAGAAGGAAGAAATCTAGGAATACAATCGAATATTTTGATTATCTTTGAACAAATATATTTTCCGTTTCTTTTCTTTTTTTTCTTCATCTCGGTCGGTTTTCTTCTTTTTTATATATATATATTGAGAATATTAGTAACAACTTACAGTTCAGTGAGTTGGAACTTGTTTCGGATCACACACGGGCGGGCGGGCGGACAACGCTCGCACGGATTCGGTTAGTTAGCCTCGTGTGAACGCTCGATTTGTGCGCTTACAACTGAAAGCATCGAGACAAAACACATATACAAGAGAAAAATCGGGCAAGCGTATAACGACAAGAAAAAGAGAAATAGATCGCGAAAGGATAAGACTAAATGAGAGAGAGAGAGAGAGAGAGAAAGATGAAGAAAAAAAATGCCATAAGAGACTCCACAGGCAGCAAATCCGATTGTTTGTCGGTCTTTTTTTCTCTTCTTTTTCTCTCTATTTTTTCTACTCGAATGAATATATTCGTATCTTTCCCTTTCTTTCTCTCTTCTGACTGGCTACCTTTTTCTTTTTTTTTTTTTTCTTCTTCTTCTTCTTTTTCTTCATCTTGTTGTCATTCATATAGACGACGCCTAAGCACTTTGTTGTAATCAAGTAGGCGAAGAGAAGAACAAATTAACTATTGGTTGGCTGATTTCTTTTTTCCTCTCGGGTCGTTTAATGATTGGTTACTTATTTCTAGGCTGTTATTCCTTTTTTTTTCTCTTTTTCTACCTGAATCTTGAGTCACGATATTTTTCTTCTTCCGTATCTTGTTCATTTACGATTTATTAGTGACCACCAAGAGAGAGACATTATGCCTGATTACACATATGTAGTTAGGACAAGGACATTGGTCAGCAGTGACAATTCCCAACGGAAGAATAATTTTCTACGGCTATGATCATCTAATAATTTCTGCTTGAAAAAATTTGTCAAGTCGGTATCAAATCGTTTATAATATTATTCATATGATGTGTTCTTACTTATTATTCACGGACAAGAATAACAAACGACGCCTTGATATTTTAATTAAAAACGAAAAGAGAAAGAAAAAAAAAAAAAACGATCCGTTTGTTATTGTCGCCAAATGAGAAAGTCAACAACAATCGAAACAAAAAGAAATAAATTAGGATTAAGAAAAAATACAAATGATTATATGTCTTGTTCGATTTGAATATATACATATAAATACCCTTAAGAAATAATCATATTTGATTATTTTTATTTCCTTTTTTCATTTGTATATTTTATTTTTATCGAATCTGTTCCCATAATAATTAGCATACAACAGAGAAAGATAGAGAAAAAAAAGATACCTTATAATTTCCACTTAAGAAAATATTTCTATCATACAACATATGAAGCCTATTGATCTTAGTCTTTAATTTATCAAATACAAATGCTATGAAATAAATAAAACACATTCTCATATTGGTAAGTATTCGATGTTAACAAGTAATATAAACAGAGGTGTCCTGAGCGCACTAACGGATTTAGAGGAAACCGCTTACCTTTTCAAAAGATTTTTCCTAGCAGAAAAAGCTAAAAAATGAGCTTGAAAAAATGTTTTATGATCATGAAACGCTCACCATCATAGGAATTCTAGATCTGCTTTCATTCCGAAGTCGTGAAGATTGAGACGAGAGTAGAGCGCGTCAAGTCCAAGAATTTCTGAATTCCGACCCAACAGGCTCTAGAAGAGCATTACTAACACCCGCTCTGGGTACTTGTGAACATAAATATTCTTACATGAACGATCATATGTATTTCTCTCTCGAACAATAGTAAATGGTGAAAGTTCCTAGTATTTACGGTCATTGGATTCTTTAATGTAAACATCGACCTTTCTTTTTCTTGTTCTATGTGGTCTATTATTGTTATTATTATCAAATAGCTAAAAGATTTTGTAAAATCCCAAATGAATACATTTTCATTACAAACAGCAGGTGGAATTAAATAAAATATTATATACGAATTTTTTTTTTCATCATTGATTATTTGACGCCATAAACAAGTATATTTTGATCTAAAACAATTATCTTCTTTTTCTTTATGATCAGAATAAATATTATATATCATCGATCAAACACAGCAGGTTTACATTCTTCTTCTTCGTCGTCTGATGATGATGATGATGATGATAATGATGGGGATGGTTGTTCTTTAGTAATTACCCTCATTTCCATCTGATTAACAATCGTTACATGTATATTGGATAGAAGAATATAAAATGTTATTTCTTTTTTTTTTTGCTTATCTATTCGTTATGTTCACAAGCACCGGCAGACTTGGAAATTGGAAAACGACATACACATGTCGGGAGAAAAAGAAAAAAGCTTCGTGCTTGTGCACTCATTCTGATGAGGTCGATCATCATTCGAGCGTGATGATGTCCGCCTCCGAAATAGTTTCTTTATAGAAAAAGAAATCTCTACAATTCAATGATGATGATGATGACGAAGATGATGATGTTCGAAAAAAAAGAAAGAAAGGAGACAACAAAGAAAGAGAGAGAGAAAAACCGAGGTGTTAACGCAATGTAATTTGCTTTTGCTCTTGCTTGTCGCTGTCACCGTCAGTTATTCCGCTAAAATGATCAAAGTTAAATTAGTATTGCATTCCTTTAGGGTCTCTGCATGTCTGCCCTATGTCTATCAATAGGAAAAAGAAGAAGAAGAAGATAGTGCGTGTATGTATATATGTAGCTAATTACAAAGAACTTATCATTATTGAGCGACGACAAAAAAGTACGCGCACAATCTTCAATAGGACAAAAAGAGAAAAAAAAAGATCACAATCAGTGTTAAACATTAATGATAAAATAAGAACCGACAATATGTATATATGAACGCTTGCCATACATGTCTTCAATTAATGATCTGATTGATTTACTACGATAAAAGAACGCTGATTCATCTATTGTTTTCTATTTTTGATTTGTTTTAATATACGCATATAACAAAAAAAAAGAAGATTTCTGACTATTAATAGAAGAAAAACCTCAAGAATGAAATCAGAATTCAAATGTCATTCATTTTCTCGTTATATACTGTGTTCATTGAAACGAACATGATCTGATCCGATTGATGACAATACAATTGGTCGCACAATCAAACAGACAGAAACAAAAAATCGAATGCAAGGCTTATAAAAAAAAAGAAAAAGAAAAAGAAATTTCAATTGAGTGTAACTTGTTGTAGATGATTGACGAAATGAGCGGAAGAAGACAATTATTTTCATCTTTACTTTTTTGATAGATTTAGCTTTAGGCTATTGCACTCGACTTACCTGAACTATTGATATTGTAGTAAAGATAAGACTAGTATGTTAGTCGTACGACAGTTATTTAAATAACGAAAAAAAAAAAAGAATGAGATAAAACATTATATCCATTTTCATCCATTAGTCTTTCCGGTATCTTCTTTTTCTATTGAACTTTATATAACAAAAAAAAACTACTATTATTTTCGCATGGTCGATATTATTTAAGGACATTTTATAAGGAATTTGACATACATTAAGCATTTATTTTATTTATTTGAAGCATACATAACAAAGAAAGAAAAGCAAAGAGATAATATAAAATCATCGAAGTGAATTGAGAAAAAGAAACTTTTACATTTGTTCATTATAGTCTATAAAATAATAAAATCATTGTTTTATGCCAAAATTCAAGGATTATTCATTACCCAATATGAAATTTCTTCTTAATACCTGTTAACAGAAACAAATTTTATTAAAATAAAAAAAAATTCAAAAAGATTATTTCATTTTTCATCTATCCGGTTTTTTTGTTGCAATTAGTTTTAAATAAAATTTTTGGATAAACACATCGTATAAGAACAACTCTTTCGTATGATCATGTTAAGTAACTTCTAACAAATACATTCATGATTCGGAATTCTTTTGCTTGGATTTTAACAAAAAAAAAAAAAGAAAGTGTTCATTATAATCTTTCAATTAGAAATAAAAAAACGGAAATGTCTATTTAGTGTAAAATAGAAAGCTAGAAATTTCTACGCATGAAATGAGTTATCAATAAACTAGTATCTCGATAGAATATCATTAAAATAAATAACATCATTATTGTTAATGTTACGAATTTCTTTCTAGAAATAGAGATGATTCCTCCATTCCCTGAAGAAACAACACACAAGAAATAATAGAAATTCCTTGGTTGATATAATTCATTGCTCGAAAAAATGACGACTTTAATTAGTATATTTATACCTTTCTTTCAGAAATTTGAACTAAAAATCTTTTAAAAATTGCCATTGAAATTATTTCTGAATTTTCAAAAATTGTTAATATATCTTTTTGAAGCCTTGTAATTGTGTTGATTTTCTGAATAGAAATCTTTTCAAATAAAATGATAAATGATAATACGCTTGCATATAATCGAAAGAAACCTGAGGTCTTCTAGTATGTGCAAGGGGTTTTCGAGTCTTGAATAGTTATCTTTCTATATGAAAATAAAGAACTTAATGATCTGATAAATAAACCAAAAAATGTAATTTTTTTTGAGTATCTGGTATTCCACCCCAATGCGCTTTTTTAATTGATCTGTAATTTGCAAAGAGAGAATAGATATAAAAATAGTTTATAATTTTCATTATAATTAAAAATAGTATTGATTGTTGAGAATAGCGAAAGTATTTTAATAGGTATGCCTAATAATATTATGTCATGTTTTTTTTTTTTTAGCATACGCCTCTTCTTTATTCTATTTGAATTTTACTTATTTTCGTAGTTATATTAAATGAGAAAATCTGATAATTGCAATAAATGAAACAAAAAAAAGAATTAGAGAATAATACTTGATGGTTCATTTAAAATGATATAATTTCTACATATTATCGGCTAATAGAAAGACGAAATATCAATCATGTGGAAAAGAGATCGAGTATTTTTATTCCAATTTGAGTTAATTTCGTTATTAACCCTATAAACATCATTGGATCATTTGTGATGCATTTATAGAATATGAAAAAATGTTTTTTTCTAGAATTATTTGGTTTTAGAAATGAATGCTTCATTAAAACTAGAGATGGGCAGCTCCGGTTGTCGGCTCCGACGAAAGTTAGTGAACCAGCGACCCAGGACAGATTATACATACGTCGAATTTAACATCATTCGACACAGAAATGTTTGCTCTTTTCAGCTATGTATTTAACTTAACTGTTGTCTTTCGTTGAGAAGAGTATTCGTTGAAACAAAGTCATCGGAGCCGGTCGAACTCAACTGCCACTCCGACTATCGGCTTCAACAACTTTGTCTCAATGAATACTCTTCTCAATGGAAGATAAGGGCCAAGCAAAATACATAGCCGGAAAAAGCAAACATTTCTGCGTCAAATGATGTTAAATTCGACGCATGTATAATCTGTCCTGAGTTGCTGGTTCACCAACTTTCATCGGAGCCGGCAACCGGAGCTGCCCATCTCTGATTAAAGCTAATAACTAGTTAAAAAGCACTCTACTGTCATTTAAAAAAAACTTTTTTCTTTATCGATAAAAGATAGAAACCTGCAGTTTCTATTATAACGTTTCTTCTGAATGAGATTTTAACAATAGAAATGAGCAATCTAGAATCGAAATCAGAATTAATGATAAATAGTAATCTTCGCAAGTGTTTAATCATATATATCATTCTTCTAAATCAATCATTTTTTATAAAATAATCCATGGTAAGTAGGTTTCCAGCTTTATACAAATAAAATAACAACATAATTGCGAAACAAATCAAATTAATAATAGATCCAATTTTCTTTTGTCATACAAAGCAAATGAGTCATTTTCACTCATTGTACATCTTCACAAATGAAATGATTTCGCTCAAATCGATGTTGAAATCAACATCGGTTTAAAAGCAGTTCTGTGCAAGAATGTCTCAAGGAGTAATGAGTTAAATTAAGATTGTTAAAAAAAGAAACTGGTTCAAATATTTATATTTATTGAATTTTTCCGACATTTATTTTTAGAAAAGCATAAAAGTTTTCCTAGTACTTTTATATGTTAATTATATATTTAATTTAGAGGAAGAAGAAGAAAACCCCTATCTTTTTCCGCTATCTTGCTGTATGGAGTACTGCATAGCGGCAGATTCAATAGCTTGATAAAAAAATATATTAGCAACATGTTCAGCTCATTTCATGACTGGTGGTACCAAGATTTGAAATCAATACCTTGTGGATACATGTGGAACTGCATAGCCACTGCCGAGAGAATCTCTTGAGGTTCTCTTCTTCCGATATCAATGATTTTTTCGCCTATAGATATTACATAGTATTTTAATAAATGACCTAAAAAGATTTCAATTTCTTATAAGATTCGATTAAACTATCGAGCATCTTAGGTTTTCGGAGAACATGTATTTTCAAATTTTTGTTCTGAAACTTGGTGCATAAAACTCAACTAGATTAGCTTCCAGATAGCTTAGCCAAATACTTTTAGGGCTTTTATTAGAATACTATACAGTATCTGTAGGCAAACAAATATTGTCTTTGGAAGAAAGCAGCTGAAGAGAAGTTCGTTCGTTGGTCATGATGACTTGGTCTAGAAACTTTCATCTTGGTTGATATATTTTATTCAAGTACAAGATAAAAGCCTCACAGATTAAAAAGTAGAATTTATATCAATGTCTATATAAACAATATCAATACTAATCCTGTCTGAGTAAACGAAAAGAAAATATTTTATACAAGTGCAATGCCTTGTATGAAGTTTGATATCGTTTATTTTTCAAGTATAATTATCAACAAATAACTTCATAGACGAAGAAAGAAAGAAAAAATTCATCTGTAACAAGGATGAAAACATTAAATCGGCATCCAGGCAATGGTATATCACAACTTTTGACATTGATCTTGTAGGACTTCAACTCATTTTAAATTTCCACAGCATTTTTAAGAATATGTTCTTCTTTACATATTTGATCGACATTCATTTATTTGATCAGATATATCTCTAAGAGAATGAAAGAAAAAATGCAATTAAATATTCATATAAAGGATTCTTGAGTTTAAATTTTTCAAAGTCATCTATATGACTGTAAACTGATACATTCATTGATGGTGGCAGTCGTTCAGCCAAAGGACTAAAATTTTTCGATGAAATGATTTGCATTCAAAGCTTTTCAATAATCTAGTATAATGAAAATAAAAAGAATTTTCTTTTTGTCAAGTTGA